CAAAGGCAAGTTCTACTGGAGAGGTTCTAGGGACAGCCGAGAAGAAATAGCCTGTCCTCCCTTTGGAAGTTTTCAGGTCTGGATGGGACCCGAGCAAATTCTGTTTACATCTTGGGACCTTAGATGCAGCAAGCCCGGTCCTTGACATGCTGACAGACACACACAGACGCTGACTGACAAGACCCTGGGGTCTACCTCACCAGTGGATTTCTGATTATGTGAGATTAGAAAAGTATTTTTTTTTTAAACCATCTGAGTCAGGTTTTCTTTTCTTTTTAGCTGAGGGGTTTCTCAACCTTGAACCTATCGACATTTGGGGCAGGGTAATTCTTTGTTGTAGGAGGGCTGTTGTGTGCATTATAGGACGTTAGGCAACAGTCCTGACCTCTATCCCTTCAGTGCCAATAGCACTCCCTCCTCCCTCAGTTTTGACAACCTTAAGTGTCTCCAGACAGATTGCCAAATGTTTGGAGTTTGGGAGGGGAGAGGTACAATTTGCCCCCAGCTGAGAACCACTGCCACAGAAAAAGGCATCCTAATGAATGTGAAGGCCTCTATTCAGGGTATCCTCAGGAGGGTAAAAATTGCTGCTGTCTATGCTCCAGAGTGTTCCAAGGATCAGAGCGAGATCAGGTGTGCGAGAAAAGCAAATACACACAAGGTGTTGCTAATCGTTACCTGTCTTTGATGCTGCTGCCGCATTGATAGCAATGTTGGCGTTTCCATTTATTCTTTTAATGGGCAGAAATGTTTAACTTAACAGATGGCCAACGCGGATAGCAAATGGAATTTTCCCCCGGCAAAGCCGGTGAACCCAGGACTCTCTGGGGCTCTTCCTCCTGCTCAGAAACCCTGATCTCCTCTAGCCTGGCCCTGAACTGGACCCCAAATCCTGACTCCTCGTCCCAGGAGGTGATGGGGGCTACAGAGCTCACCCATTAGCATATTTTCACAGATTAAGAGAGATCTTCATATTTAGCTGCTGGAGAGATGGATGCCCCTCCCCCATAACAGTATCTTCACAGCTCACACATCTGTGTATTTGAGACCTGCTGTACTGGGGTCCCTGGACAACCGATCATGCCTTACGCTCCCTTTCCTCAAACCAGCTGACACATCAAGGTCTCTTTCCTCAGATGCCCCCTGGCCCCTACCATCAGTGCCTTCAGATTGATCACTTCTTGGAGAGTTTGTGTCCCTAAGTGTCATATAATGTCCCCAGGGGCAGAAAGGCTTATGAGGGGAGCCAGACTTTAGGTGTGGAGATTTGGGAGTGTGGGAGCAGTGAGGGGACCAGCACTGGAGGTGTTTGAAAGCAATGGATGGATCAGTCACATAAGTCTCGGGAGTGCTTGCTCTGTGCCAGGCTGGGGCAGGGCTGGGAGCAAAAGTTGTTACGATGAGGCTGTGGTCCTCTTGACCTACTGGGGCATATGTGGAGGACGTTGGGTTGCTCTCCTGGCCTTGTCCTGTATCATGGTTTGGGGTAACTACCCCCATACCAGGGCAACTACCCCGACTTTGTGCTGCATTGCCACCCCTGCAGCCGACGTGTTCTGTAGGTCACTGACTCACCTTCTGATCCAGAGCTAGGACACATATTGGGGCTTGGCATATGAAGATCTGTGGTGGAGATGGCATTCATTGACAGCTTCTAGGGAAAAATAGTTTTCCTTTGAGGGAGGGGGGTCGTGCCTTGCAAAAGTGATGCTGAGTCCAGCTATAGCCCGGTTATTACCACGAAGGAGTCAAGCTGAGGGTTGAGCCTATATATAAAGGAAGAATGAGCCAAGAGAGTTACAGGGAACTCAAGCTGGAGCCTTGATCAAGCATGTGAGCCACCTCTGGACTTCTTGGTGGCGGATGTTAGTAAGACCTCCTTACTGCGTAAGCCAGTTTGAACTGGACTTTTCTCTTCCTTGAATTACAAACTGTCCCACCTGACCCAGAGTTTGCTACCAAGAAGGGGATGCTACAATTAGCAAACCTCAAATATGGTTTGGCTGAGGAGAGGTATTCACATGGAGAGCAGCAAAATGTCCTTACTAGGAAGACGCTGATCCTGGGCTAGCAAAGTAGCTGCTTCTCCCCCATTTTATCCTGGGATACAGACCCTATGCATAGAGAGATAGGACATTTGGAGAGATTTGGTGGGAAATACTCAGGATGTTGGGTGCCTCCAGCAGTCTTGGTTAAGGTCCTAGGAGACTCAGGGCATCTGGGTGGCTCAGTGGGCTAAGCGTCATCTTTCAGCTCAGGTCATGATCCCAGAATCCTGGGATCGAGCTCCGCGTGGGGCTCCCTGCTGAGCAGGGAGCTTTCTGCTTTCTTCTCCCTCTCCCTCTGCCCCTCCACACCCCACTTATGCTCTCTCTTAAATAAAATAAATAAATAAATAAAATCTTAAAAAAAAAAAAAAGGCCCTGGGAGACTCAAATTTAGGAGGCGCGTAGCCCATTTGAAAGCGGGGAGGAATAAAAACACAGCTTGCTGAGAGAGGGCCTTTCTGCCTGTGGCCTGCGGTCCGAAGTGACTAGACTTTGATGAGCAAGCCCCGCTGGGTCAAAAAAGCTGCTGTCACTGGCTAAAGTTAGAACACAGGCAGTGATTCAGGTGGCTCAGCAAGAGAAAAGATCAGGGCCCTAGAAAAACAGTGTCCCCAGGTCGCAGGTCTCTATGGAGCATCTTGTCTTAGGTACCTCAAGCCTGGTGAAGGGGACAGCTCACTCACTGTGGATACAGCTGGCGGGGGCAGGAAGACAATGTGGGGTACCTTCACATCAGAGGTGAAAGAAGATGCCACTAATCTGTGGAGCAGGGCAGTGGGCAAGGCACAGAGCCCTGTTGCTTAAGGATTCTGACCGGAGACTAAATCCAGCTTGAACTACCAGCTCACAGACTTGAATGGAAGAGATCCAGTAGATTCTTAAGAATGCTGACTTGCCAAAGAAAGGGACCAAGCAATGTCTGAAATTACCCATCCCACAGGGCAACCCTTGAACTTGTATCCACCAGAAAATGTGTCGTTAAAGCAATGACTCTCCTTGAAAGACACATGCCCACTAAGATGTTGGCTAGGCAATGGACAGGGCAGCTACACACAAACACAGAACTGGGGACCAAAATGTTGGCTGACTCAGGGACTTGCTTTACTACCATGGTAAGGAATCCCTAATATTTTCTCAAGACTGCATTGCATGTACCATTGGCCAATGACACCTGAATGGGTTTCCCAAGGACCTCTTCTCCAAATGGAGAATTCCCCTTCTGGAAATTCTTATTGCAGATGGACTGGGTCCCCCCACCACCACCCTATTACTATATTGATGGTGGTGAAATTCAGAATTTAGTTCATAGTTTACCATCCTATGAGTTGCTATTTCCAGACATGATGGAGAGTATGATGCATCTTCCAGAAAATATGAACTTGAACCCAAGTCCAGTAAGGGATGAGTCATAGGGCTTCACCCACTGGGGGAGGAGGTGAGTCTACATTAGCTGAGTGTGGGTATTTCTGATGATTATGTAGCATAAGGAGGGTGTACAGATGTTGGATTACCAAAAGGGTAGACGATAGGAGGATGTTATGGTCACTGTTTAACACTCATCTCCCCTCCTCCAGATAATAATCCCGATTTTGTTCAGTAACTACACTTGATCTCACAGCTTGTATGGTTTAAAGAAAGCTAACTCCCCTCCCAGATCCAGGACCAGAGTGTACCGCCAACACTAAACTCATACCTTCAGGACTGGATGGGGCTCTGCTTGGAGTGCCTCGGAGACAACGTTCTCTCTCTTTCCTTCTTCTTCTGGGGTAGGGTGTTGGGGAATATAAGTCTTGAAGCAACCATTTTGCTACCATGAGGGGAACCAATTGTGACCGAAGCCAACACAAGGAGGAAAAGTTGAAAGAATCAGAGATAGTGGAGCTGTGGCCCAGATTGTACCATACCCATCCTTACCCTTGGGCTTTGGAGATATATAAGGTCTTCTTTGATGTTTGATCCAGTTGAAGCATTTTCTGTTATGTGTCACTAAACAACCATTACAGAGTGTGATAAATGCTAAAATAAAAATATGAAAAAGAGGGTGCCTGGGTGGCTCAGATGGTTAAGCCTCTGTCTTCACTCAGGTCATGATCCTAGAGTCCTGGGATCGAGTTCCGCATTGGGATCCCTGCACAATGGGGAGCCTGCTTCTCCCTCTGCCTCTCTCTCTATCTCTCATGAATAAATAAATAAAATCTTTTTAAAAAGTATGAAAAATAGTAAAGAGAGGAGGTGGGTTAATTAGTGAAGAGGAGCAATTATTTCTTTTTTTTCTTTAAGACAACTTTATTGAGATATCTTAGACTTAGAGAAATTGTTTATATTAAGGTGTACAATTTGATTGACATACAGACATACACCGAAAAGATCACCGTGATCAAGCTCAACAACTTATCCATCAGTTCTACATAGGTATTCTTTTTCGTATGTGCGTGTGGGGAGATGTAATTTAAAATCTGCCCTCTTAGAAATTTTGAAGTATGTGATACATTATTAACTATTATTACGGAGCTGTATATTAGATGCTCATGGAATGAATGAATACATGGAATGTATTCATTCCGTGTAACTAAACCTTTGTACCTTTTGACCAACATATCGTCATTTCTCCAACCACAATTCTGCTCTCAAGAAGCAATGTTTCTTTAATCATGGAGGATGGGAAGAGCAGCAGAGATACACCCATCTCAGTTGTTAGCATTAAATGCACCTCTTTGGTGGAATTAATTGGACTCATCTGGGACCATCATTGTACATTTCTCAGCCCATCCAGGCGGGAATGGATGTGTTGAGGACTGCCGCTGACATTCCTAAGTCCCCAATACATATTGGGTGGTGGAAGGAAGCCTTCCATCTGTTGCCCCCATTCCTCCGCAGGGCAGTCCCCCAGCATCCCCTCTCACTGTGAGCAGCCAGCCACCTCCTAACCCTGTTCTCCCACTGTTGTTACAGAAGATGGATCACATGTCTCCCAGGCTGAGAGCCTTCCTCTCTGAACCCATTGGAGAAAAGGATGTTGCCTGGGTGGACGGGATCAGCCGTGAGCTTGCAATCAATTTGGTCACCAAAGGTTTCAACAAGGTAATTCATTTTTTTCTTATTGCCCCAACTTTGCTCTCCGACCTCCCTTCCCCTAGCCCTGCCAGATGGCAGCCACAGCTATGTGTCCCTGCAAGGGGCCGTCACAGAGCAAAGCCGCCACTTGGCAGAGTGCCACTTGCTTCAACACTACCGACCCCTCATGCTTGGGCAGCCCCGAGGGCCAGTAGATGATGAGCAAATTGAATGGCTTTGGCTCAGAGCAGCTGGGCTGGGCTTGATTCCCTTGGTATTCAAACACCCAGAGGTCAACAGAAGCGAGCCAGCTGCCCGAGTCTGGGGCTGAGCTGTCCGGATGGATGATTTGCATACACTTCCTACCTTCAGGAAGAGGCTCATGGGGTCTCACCTGCCCCACCAGGGCATCAGCTTGGCAACGGCAGGTGGACTAACCGCAGACTGGGGTCTACACCAGAGTAAGAGGATGTCAGTTGTTCTAAGACGTCACTCACAGCCCAAGAATGGCCTCAGGGGTATCCAGTGGAATCCGAACATTCTTTTCTAAGTAATTATTTGTTTTTTTTTAATGGTGCTCTTAAAGATGCTTGGAACTTTAGGAGAGAATGAAGAACCCAAGAGTTCCCGAAGAGAACCCAAGGAGAGTGACACAGGCGATGGGAATTCATGCTTGGTCGAGAGATCTCGCCCAGAGCTCCTACTGCTCCTCTCTCCGGTTTTGTTCCCTTTTTTTTTTTTTTTTAAGTTCCCTCCAGTTTCTAATGTCAGTCTATACTGCAGTGCGGGGAGATGGGGCAGAAATGCCTGACGAGGCTGGGAACTGCTGCCCGCACGGCTGACGATCAGGAAGGTGTGCACCTGCCCCGTGCCCAGCTGTTTCCAGGGGGCCTCTGAACTACTGGGCCTCTAGTTGTCTCGTTAAAACACTGCTTAATACCAGTTTTTTTTTTTTAAAGATTTTTATTTATTTATTTGACAGAGAGAGATCACAAGTAAGCAGAGAGGCAGGCAGAGAGAGAGGAAGGGCGGGGGGAAGCAGGCTCCCTGCTGAGCAGAGAGCCCGATGCGGGACTCGATCCGAGGACCCTGAGATCATGACCTGAGCCGAAGGCAGCGGCTTAACCCACTGAGCCACCCAGGCGCCCTTAATACCAGTTTTGAAACATTCTGAATATCACCCCAATCCACCGGCCCATTTAATATCCACTGGGTGGTTTTGCTGGAAAGCTGGAGCTCCGTGGCTAAGGTAGCTTGGATTCTTTCCTCTCAGATAAAGGAGTTGGGACCCTTCCCAAGCAGGTAGTGAAGTAAGCAAGGCTGGTTAGGGAAGGCATTTTAAATTAACAATTCCTTTTTTGAAGGACATGCGTGTCTCTTTTTCTTTTCTATTGTGGTGTAATGCACCAACATTGATATGAAGGGTCTGGCTCAGTCCATTTTTACACACACACACACACACACACACACACACACACACGTATTTTTTAATGTATATGTATATATTTGTATAAGTATGTATATATTTATATATATCTATTATATATATGTATATGAACTCATGGAGGCACCCCCAGATTCAGTGATTGGATACCTCCAGAATGCCCGATGATGCCCTTGTGTCTCTCCCCCACCAATGCCATCCCCCACTCTCAGAGGTACCCCATTGTTCTGGCTTCTCCTGCTTTGATTTAATGTTGGTTTTTGTTTTGTTTTTTGTTTTTTGTTTTTTTTTTTGCTGTTGTTCAGCCAGACTCAGCCTCTTAGAAACATTTTTATTCACACGCAGTGAATTTCATGAATTTCACCTTTCTTCAGTACACAGTGCTGCAAGGTTTGACAGATGGATGCGGTCATGGACCCACTACCACGATCGAGACACAGAGCAATCCCAACACTTCCTCTGTGCCCTCTGTGCCCTTCATAGTCTCTACCCTCAACCCCTGACAACCACTGATTTGTTTTCTATCCCTAGAGTTGTTTTCTAGAGTTGTTTTTCTATCCCTAGAGTTTTGGATAAAGGAATGAATGAATAATGGGTAAATTTCAGGCATCCCAGAACTTACTACACAGAGTCGGAGCTGTAGGGAAGAGGAAACTGTTTGCCTGTGCGTGGCCAGGCCCCTCTCACATTCATGACCTGCTGGTGAGCAAGGTGACCAGCACACCACCTCCAGGCCTTACTCATTCCTAGGGTCGCTAATTTCAAGCACTCACGTAAGGGATTTCACCTTTCTCCTTTGCTTTGAGCCCCTGACACACCTGCGAATGAGATGAGGGGTTCCTTATCTCCACTTCACAAAGGAGAAGACAACTCCTCAGAGTTAGTGTCTTGATCAAAGCCCCATGTGAGGACAAGAATGGCGGTGGATTGTGTGTTCACAAACCACACAGGAAGACCTGGGTCCTGGTGGTTACCACGGCAGGGAGGGGGCTTACCCTGGGATTCAGTGGTAAGACTCTGTTTGGGCTGGAGCCTGGCTGAACCTGTGAAAGGATCCAGGAGACCCGATGTGGCTTCTACAGAGGTGAACAAGTGCTTGGGGTGAGGACTGGTCAGTGCAAAGGGCCAGCAGGGAGAGCCTCCAGGACAGGCAGATCCTATAGGGAAAGGGTCTCAGATTTAGCATATAAAAATGCAGGTGCTTTTATATTTTTTTAGAGTTTTATTTTAGAGCAGTTTTAGCTTCACAGCAAAATGAAGCTGAAGATGCAGAGATTTCTCATGTACCCCCTTGTCTCCCACCGACGTGAACATCCTTTCTCATGAGCCACACCCCCACCAGACTAGTACATCTATCACCATCAAAGAACTTACATGGGCACATCGTAATCAGCCAGGGTCCGTAGCATATATTAGGGTTCACTCACAGAGTTTCTGTGGGTTTGGACAAATGTGTGATGACACATGTCCCCCATTTTAGTAAGCTGTTTCACTGGCCTAGAATCCCCTGAGCTCCTAGATTTTTATACTCTGTGTGCAGGAGACCTTAGGGAGGGACAGCTTTCTGGGTCTCCTGCTATCTATCCTCTGTCTTTGTGGGCCTCTGCTGAGATCCAGTTGTCCCCTCCCCCAGCTTTGTTACGACTTTGAAAACTATTGTTTCTTCTGTGGATTCACCCAAGTCTCTTCCGGACCTTGACAGTCAAAAATGTAGCGGCATTCTCTTTGAGGGATTTAGTGCCTGCCCTGCTCCCAGGCAGTCAGCCTTGGCAGATCTAGATCTCTGAGAATCTAGATCTCTGCTGTCTGCTACGATGGCCAGTGGCCATTGGTACCTGCGGAACACCTGTCTGAATAGAGATGTATTATACATATAAAGTACACACTGTGATTTCAAAGATTTAAGATTTTAAAATACCCCCTACCAAGGCAAAGTTGTAATTTTTTTGTTGTTGTTGATTACATGTTGAAATGTTATTTTTAAAATGTGGGAGAAAATAAAGCGTATTATCAGAATGAATTTCACCGGCTTCATTGCCCCCCCTTTTCCTGTGGCTCCTGGAAAATTAAAAATTATATATGTGGCTGGCTCATATTCAATTTCTCCTGGAGAGTGTTGGTCTAGACTTAAGAGCAGAAGGGCCTCAAGAGACAACGGAATGACCTGGAAGGGAAAATACGTTGGTGCACAAGGCGTTCAAGAGGCTTTCCATGGCCTGGCTCTAGCTCTGTCTTATATTCCGCCCCCCAAGCCACTCCACACCCAAGCCAAACAGTCCATGAATCACAAACACAGATGGGACCACCAGCCTGCAGACCTCTCTTGAAATGGACATTCACCCCCTCCAAGACTCCATTCGCAATGAACCTTCTCCAGGAAGAAAGCCTTCCTTCCGCATGCCCACCCCAACCTAACAAGCTTGTGCTACTGAACACTGAATATTCAATAGGACCCCTTGCTGGGACATCTGTCCTGTTGACTATTTTTTCCACACACGGCCTGAGAACCCACACTCATTATGCTAGACAGACACCGCTTGCCTTTGGGGCTCTCCCATGTCTCCCATGAAGCCCAGGATGGTTCTATGATCTTTGTGCTCCTCTTTTCCCTGTGAAAACCCTGCCCAGGGACGAGTGAATTTCCAGGCACTCAGTAAATTCAGGGACTTTGAACAGTGCCCTATGGGGAGGGTGCATAACCGGGAGGAGAACCCTGAAGTCATCCAATCCAGAGAATCTGGTTTGGGTCAATGTTCTTTGAAGACATTAGAAAGTTCTATCCTTAAGGCCGAATCTTCCTCCTGAGAGATAGTTGGAAGATCGGGGAGGGGTATGTGTTCTGGGGGCCCACCTGCTCCCTAAGGCTCTCCTAACAGCAGAATTTGTGCATGATGTTTGCTGTACATCAGGCTCTGTCCTCAGAAAATCCTATAAGGTATATATACTGTTTTACTAATGGGGAAACAGGCACAGAGTGGCCACGTGACTTGCTCAAAGTCGCTCCCGGTGAGAGCAGTGATATCTGCATCTGGGCAGACAATGTCTGGGGGTGGGGGCGTAGTCATGCAGAGACCCCCCCACAGCCTGATATCTGGACCCTGCAGGGAGACAGTCATGCAACTTTTGGGCTACCCCACCTAGGATTGCCAGATGAAATCCAGGGTCCTCCTTCATTAAAGCTGAATTTTAGTTAGAAAATAATTTTTTAGTGTAGGTAAAGCCCAGGGAGACATGGAGAAGAAAGAAGAAGAGGCAAGCCCTGCATCAGATCAAATATTTGTCCTAAAGACAAGGAGTTTTAAACCAGAAATGATTGAGAAGTAGTGGATTTTCAAGATTGTCCCTGGCTACCAGCGGTGGTGAAGGCTGAAGAGCCAGCATCTGGTTAGAAGAAAAGAGAGTCATCGATCCCACAACAAATTCTTGTGGCCACCTAAGGGCACTGACTCTAGGCCCAGAAGAGCTGGCAGCTGCAGGCAGACGTGTCGGAGAAGCCAGAGAGTCAACAATGGTCAAGACCATGGATGTGTTTGCACAGGTCATGTGATGGAAGGAAGGTACAACCCCTTGTGAAACCTGCAGGGTGTCAAATCCCTGTGTTGTACACCGGAAACAAATGAGTGTCAGCTTTATTCCAACAAAAAACAGTGACCAAAAGAAAAGAAAAGAAAAGCCCAGGTGTCACGGTGAAGACAGAAAATTTTCACTGGCATGGACCAGGCCCAGCCACCTAGCCCTACAGGAAGATTCAAGGCCCCTTGGTCCCCTCTACTGAGGGCTTCAAGATGGCCTCAGCAGAGCATTAGGCCAAGGGGACCTCTGTCCAGGGTGGTGGGGGTAGCCATGTCTACTCAACATTTCCACGTCTCTGCATCACCCTCCCCGCAGCCAGATTTTTGTGAGCTTTGGTCCAAGAAGGGAGAGGTGGGAGATTTTCTCCTCCTTGGTTAGGGGCTTGCTTGCTGGAGCCAGAGGAGAAACAACAGGCTTTGGGCATGGGGACCATGATGATGGCCTCCCTTGGGAACAGGGTTGAAACAGGCTAAATTTTCATCCCCACCACTGGAGGGTGGCAGCGTGAGTGGACGAGGGACAGTCAGGTGGCAACTTAGTTCCAGAGGGCCTTCTTCCTGTAGCGTTCCTGGAAAATTTGCCTCTGGTCCTATATGTCATGTGTTCCCCGGCTTCCTGGCTGCTGAGGCTGATGGGGGTGGGGAGGCTCTGATCACCCAACCAGCTGATGCCAGCAGCAGGGCCTCCGAGGCCAGATGCAGATGGTCAGGAAGGGCAAGCATGGGGCTCAGGAAGACAGATATCAACCTCTTGGATTCTCAGTGACCCCCATCTGGAGAATGGGACAGGGTTAAAACGTGCCAGGGGTCTGGAGCCCATCAAAGGCATTCAAGGGCCACTTACTATCATCATCATTATTATTATTACTATTACTTATCATCATCACTGATGTTTTTTCTCCCTGTACAGAGCCCCTTGTTCCTTGATCCTGTGATTCACGTCTGCAACCCCCACCCCCACACCTACTGGGGCACCTGGCTCAATTAACATTCAATAAATGTTCATTTTTTTTTCCAATGTTGAGTTAAAAAACATCTCCATAAAATCACCACTGAAAATACGAGGATACTGATAATGTAAAATGAGATTGTTCTAAGCAACAATGCGGCTTTTCTAGAAAGACGATTCAAAGAGCACTTGAAAATGACCATGACAACCTGGATGTTTTATTTTAAATCTTTTCAACAACTGGACCATGACTAAAAATAAGAAACACCAAGCTCCAACAGCTTGGGTACATTTTACTGCAATTCAGCTTTTAATTTCTTTTTTTAAAAGAAAAATATGTTCCCTTTGGTTAAGATTAAGTTTGCTTTGTTTTATGTAACTGAAAGTAAACAGACAGCAGCAGGTTTTCCTGGAGAAGGCCCAGGACGGTAGGCGAGGACACTGGTTCTCACTCCCTCCAGGCTGGAGAGCCCCCAAACCAGCCACGAGAGACGGGCGTTTATGTGACCTTAAATCTCCAGGCTTCGCCATTTAGTGAGCAGCTGGGTCAGTCTGTGGCCACGCGGTCTTGGGTGTCCCTTTCCCCATGTAGCCCTTGCTCCTTGTCAGTAATCATGTGATAAGATTATCAAGAGACCAGTGAAAAGCTGAAAAGTAGTAGTTAGAAAGCGAGAGAATCCCGAAGAGCTATCAGTCCTGGTATACTTAATATCACTTACGTTTTTTCACACACTCAGACTCTTCAGAAGGGAAGGATGAGCGAGGTTTATCACATGTTATGTTCCATTCCCGTCCCACGGGCTGAGCATTCCAGGACACTCTCCTTAGTTTCTCACATTGAATCCACGTCATTCGGTTTGCAAGGTGGGGCAGGGCACCTTGTGTGGCTTTAAAGCGATGCAGAAACTGAAACCTCGCTGCGATGCACAGGACAGTCCCCACCCCCACCCCAACAGCACAAAATTATCCACAATGTCAACAGTGATGAGAGTTAGAAACTCTGCAAGATCAATCCGAGAAAGCGATGGGGCGGGGAGCCTCTCTGAGTCCTCTTCTTGTTTGCATGCACGTGTGTGCATATGTGTGTGTGTCAAAAAGAAATACTGAGGGCATCTGGCTGGCTCAGTTTGTGTAGCACGCAACCCTTTATCTTGGGATTGTTAAGTCTGAGCTCCACGTTGGATGGAGAGATTACTTAAAATCTTAAATAGAGAGAGATTGATTTAGAGAGAGAAAGAAATGCTACATCAGAGGTCAGAAGGGAGTATGCTAGGCTGTTGCTACTCAAAATGTTGTCCCTGGACCAGCACCAGCCGGGGACATGTTTGAAATGCAGAATTCCAGGCCCCTCCAGACTTTGTCAGAACCTCCCTTTTAACAAGGTCCCAGATGATTTATGCGCTCATTAAAGTTGAGAAAGACAGGTTCTGGTTTACCCCAGGCTGGACACACGACCTCCCAACCCCAACCCGGGAGATCTGCATTTCACTTGGCTTCCCATCTCACCAAGGTCCAGTCCCAGAATCCCCATCGCCCGGGTGCTGTCCTTGGCCCTCAAACCTGATCTGTGCCCCTTCCTTCCATGCTCGCAAGAGTCCTGGTGTGGGAGAAGAGCACCTCTGAGCAGGTTTATTATAACCTTTCCCATTTTTCTCCATGCCTCTCCCCGGCCCCGCAGGCCTACATCCTCTTGGGACAGTTCCTTCTGATGCATAAGAACGAAGCAGAGTTCCAGAAGTGGCTTATCTGTTGCTGCGGTGCAACCGAGTGTGAGGCCCAGGAGAGTTCTCACTGTCTGAAGGAGTGGTGCTCCTGCTTCCTCTAGACACATACCTCCTTGCTCTGATGCCTGGGTAAATGGCGCACTCTGTACTGGCACCCAGGCTTGGGGTCATTATTTTTGTGTTTAACTGGAAGGCTACATGTTCATTATACAAAGTAGTTCATGAATATAAAAGAGGACAGGCAAAAGACAACGGGCCCCCAAATTTCCAACCCGGAAACAACTGTCACTCACCTCCCATGAATAGCATGCCAAGCATCTCAGGCATAAATTTATATAAAGCAAGCTTTTATTTTAAAGTGGGGATTAAGTTTTAAGCCGGTGTATTGGTTCTATGTGTTGCTGCATAGCACGTGGACCCAAAGCATGGAGGCTTAAACCAAACAATTTTACCTCCCACAGCTTCTTAGGGCCAGGAACCTGAGAGTGGCTTAGCTGGGTGGCTCTGTCTCCAGGCCTCCCACGAGATTGCTGGGCAGCTGGGCAGCAGTCATCTGAAGGTTTGACTAGGGCTGGAGGATCCACTTCAAGTCGTTGCACTCACATGGCTGTTGACTGGAGTCCTCCGCTGCTCCTTACGTGGGGCTCTCCATAGGGCTACTCACGGTGTGGCATCTAGCTTCCCCCAGAGTGGCTCACCCAAGAGGGAGTAAGAGAGCAAGCAAGAAGCCACAGTGCCTTTTACAACCCAGTCTCTGACTCACCTTATATCACTTCTGCCTTCTTCTATTTTTAGAAGCAAGTCATTAAGTCCTCAAGAAAATTAAACTTTATTGAAACAGCAACTAATACAGCAGACATATTTTTCAAAGCATTGTAGTTAGGTTTCTGAGGTATAAGTTATAGTCACCAAAACTTTCCCTTTTTAGGTGTGTAGTTCTATGACTTTTGACAAATGCATTGTCCCATGACCACCTCCAGAATCAAGATGGACAACACTTCCTTTGCCCCAAAGAGTTCCCTAATGCCCCCCTATAGTCATCCCTGTGCCCCTCCCCAACCCTTCCCAACCAATGATCTGGTTTTTGTCCTAATAGTTTTGACATTTCCAAAAAGCCAAATAAATGTATTCACACAATATGTTGCCTTTTAAGAGTGGCTTCTTTCACTTAACATAATTCAGTTGAGATGAATCTATTATACAGGCTTTATAAATTCAAGAAAATATTGGCAGATGTTGTGGGTGCATGACCCCATATCCTTTGGCATTCACTGTTCTAACAGTGCCCAGTAACTTCCCTCAGCAAGCAACTGAGTAACCTCTGCCAACAAGGACCTCTGGTTGTAGGGGTGGGGATCCACCCAGGCACAGGGCAGGGAGGAAGTGCCTGGGAGTTAACACCCAGTCATGGGTGGAAGTTGACGGCTAAATGCCTCAGATTCCTTATGCTTTGGGTGGGACAGCTCTGAGGTGGTATCTCCCAGCTTCCCAGTGGTGTTAAGCCCAGCTGCCCACAGTGGCCCCTTGCCCTTTTCACACCCCTAGGCATTTGCTTTCTTCCCCTCCCACTCTGCTACCAGGGTTTCCTGGGCACACCCCTCTAGGAAATATTCAATTTTAGTCTCAGTCTGGTTCTAGAAGAACCCAACTTAAGGCAAAAGTGCTAAAATTTAATTTTATTTCAACAGAAGAAAAGTGGAACTGAGAGAATTAATTGAACTTCATTGAATTTTTTTCTTCATTACTAGATATAGTACTTTCTAAATCAATTTCTTCCAAAGTGTAAAAAATAATATGGGAAACAGTAAGAGAGGGGTTAGTGTCATTAGGTATATTTTAAACTCTGTTTTTCAGTATTAGATGGTATAAATTTCCATTTTTAAAAAGAAATAAGAGTAAAAAGAAATTAGCACTCTTACTTCTTTTTCATTTTTTAAAAATTGGCTTTAATATTATTTTTGGTTTGTCAAGGTTTGTAGCATTTATATGCTTCCCATAAACTTAATCCCTGCAGTTGTTCAGTCTTAGTTGTATGTTTATGAGCTTATCATCAACCCTTGTTGGTGTATTATTTTATACCTGGCTTTGTCACTCCTGAATTCTTTGTTTTGATACACTTCTCGGTTGGTTGAGTTGGATGATTATATTAGTCAGAATAGGTCAGATTATGCTGCTTTAACAAACAATCCTCCAAGGCTCAGTGATTTAGCCAGCAAATGTTGATTTCTCTTTTAGCCTTCATATCTAGTATATGTCATCAGGAGAGTTCTGTCCATTGTAATCACTCTGATGGTTAGGTAGATGGAAATTCTCTTTCAATACATGCTTGAGGTAACTGGCTAGATCAGTCAGAAGAGTGTGGGACTCTTGATCTTGGGATCATGAGTTTGAGCCCCATAGAGATTACTTCAATAAATAAAACTTAAAAAAAATGCTTCCATGAGTACCACAGTGGTGACAAGGTGCCATGGTGGATTACACACTATATTTCAAAGACTCTACCCAGAGTGATATATTCCACGTATGCTCACATTTCAGTGTGAACAAAGCAGCATTTGTTCATTTTATCATGAACAAAACAACAAAGCAAATCACATGGTCAAACCTAACTGCGAAGGGTCAAGGACTCTTCTGAGCTCAGAAGCAGCAGAAATATTTGGTGATAGCACTAATCAAGACCACAGTCATCAGTTTGATTCAATGCTTTTTCCCTGTATGCTTCACAGGTGTTAGATTTCCTAAGTTCATAATATGACTGGGATATTTCCATTGGGGTCTGTTTAACTCTTTCTAGCTCTGCTTCTCTAGTTGTCCCCAAGGAGAGCCAACTGGCTGGCCCAAAGACGTAAAAAGTTCCATCTCCCAGGGCCTCAGGTTCTGACCATCCAGAGCCCTTCTCTTGCTCCCTCCTGTACAGCCCATCCTTCCATTAATTCCCTACTGAGATAGTCGTGAGATTTAGAGGTCACTCATTTTCTTTTCTTAAGATTTTATTTATTTATTTATTAGAGAGAGAGAGAGAGAGTACTCATGCATGAACGGGCAAATGTGGGGGGGAGGGTGGGCAGTGGGAGAGGAAGAGAGAATCTGAGGCAGACTAGACTCTGAGCACCCAAGCCAAAACCAAGGGTTGGACGATTAACTGACTGAGCCACCCAGGTACCCCAAAGTTACTCATTTTCTAAGACAAGAGCTTTTGGCTCTAGGGAAAGGAAAATGGGAAGTAGCCTTTTTCTTCCCTCCATTTTCACACACCTCCCATATTGCTGAAATTTGTCCCTTTAATCGCGTTGATGTCTAGGATCATGTAGGAAGATTAGAGAAATGAGAAACTTGGAGGAGATGGGCTTCCAACGTTAAGGAGCTTCTACAGGGGGACCCTAGCACAGATAATTGAAAACCAGGGTACATGTTCTTTGTGTAGTGTAACTGGAGGGACACTGAGGATGACCCCTGTTCCCCATAATTTTCTCTACAGACATTAGGAATGCTCCCCATCATCCATTCATTCTCCTGTGCTGATTTTCGTTTTTCTCATAAATAAAATTATTGGCCCCAATTCTTCACCCTCCTGTATTTTCCACCTTTGTCATGTGATTTTGCAGTCCCTCCCACTAGAGGCAGAATAACTCCCAGTCCCTTGACTTAGACTTGACCATGAATTGCTTTGGCCAATAGTATAAATTTGAAATGGCAGCATGCCAGTTCTGAGCTTCATTGTACATTTCCACTTGCTCTCTCATATCTCTGTCAACGTTAGGAGAAGAGCTAGCTCCTTGGATAACTGCTGCCCCTTCTGGGTCCTAGAATGAACCCCAGTGAAACTGATGTGAGCCCAATTGGCAGCAAGGACCCGAGGCCAGCCAGACCTGTAGCTTGATGGAAAGTTGCCCGGCAAAGCCCACCCTAAATCAGCCAACCCTCAGCCAACTCACAGATGTGTGAGCAGGAATAAAGGATTGCTATGCAAAGCCACTAATGTTTGGGACATTTTGCTATGCAACAATGTCTAACTGATACATTCCTTCTAGCCTAACACATGTCCTCACCCTGGCAAACGGTGCTGCATTAAAACCCAACCAAACCTTTCAGTGGAACAGCAGTCCAGGGTGGATGAAAGAATATTGCCTCTGAAGGCAGCCAGGCACAGTTGTGAATACCAGCTCTGCCAACCAGCACCTTATCCTGAGTAAGCTACTTAACACTGAGCCTTGGTTTCTTTACCCATAAAACGGGGGCAGGAAGGTGATTACTCTGCCTTGAAGGTTGGACTACTTGAAATAGTATGTGTTAGATACATGGTTCAGAGTAGAATCTCTGTCTCTGTTCTTGGGCTCTTCTCTGAGCCTGACCCCCTGAGTGCTTGGTCATCCCATGATACTTGGGGAAGAATTCATAGCTCTGAGCTGGAAGTGAGCCCAGCTATCAGCTTATCCCATTCTGTTCCACCATACGAGTACAGGACACTGTACATTATACACTCGTTAGGGAGATGAGTGGGTAAGAAAGGACAACCAGTAAAAATTAGATTTTGACCGGGATCTTATAGGGTCCCATCAGCCACTGATCCCCAAAGACATTTTCAAGGACACTTAAGAGGGCACATGTGTCCTCAGCCATGTCAAAGGTTTATCTTCTGCTTGACAGGAAAGTTGTTTCAATGACTTGGGAAAGGATTGGTGCCTGAGAATATTTACCAATTGTCACAGATTTGAGTAGCATCTTAATCAGGAGCCAACCATATGCAAGGAGGGGGGGTGAGTATCGACTCTTAGCCCAATATCTGTAGTTTGGGGGTATCTGTGAATTAATAAATGATTTCAGTTAGTATTTATGGAGCGTCTAAGGTTCTTTTTTTTTTTTTTAAGATTTTATTTATTTATTTGACAGACAAGAGATCACAAGTAGGCAGAGAGGCAGGCAGAGGGAGAGGAGGAAGCAGGCTCCCCGCTGAGCAGAGAGCCCAATTCGGGGCTTGATCCCAGGACCCTGGGACCATGACCTGAGCCGAAGGCAGAGGCTTTAATCCACTGAGCCACCCAGGTGCCCTGTGTCTAAGGTTCTATGCATGGTTAGATGCTAAGGGAAAGGCAAAGGGAATAACAAGTTTCTCTGGCTTTGATAGCTTACAGCTTAACAAGAGATGATTGGAAGATGGGGGGAAAAGCAGCCAAGTTG